ACAAAGAAATCTTTATCATGTGTTAATCAAACTCAAATCAATTAAGTCATTATCCATCATATCAATTATTTAGTTCACTAAAGAAAATACATTCAATAATGGAATATAACATATTCCATTTACGTCAGTCAGTCAACTACAGAGTAGAACCAGGCACATTTATACATCGGTCTAAGTTGCCATACCTCGTTAGCACAGCAAGACGAACACCGAATTCATAGAAGTAGTTAATTTAATGGTGGTAATATATAAAAGAAAGGTTGTATATAAGGATATAGTATAGGAAGGAAAGAAGTTATGAAGCAATTTTAATCTCAAGGTTTAAGGGAAGATAAAGAGTGCATACACCTACGCCATTGTGATCGATTCTGAGCCATGTCACCCAGAGTCTCCAACCATTGGTTACGATAGTCACGTGGACCCCAACCAGGTAGTCTGCATCTGCCAACATGGCTCAGACTAGAAGTTAGTGACTTCAAACACTGATGCCATGTTTTGGTTTGGCCACCCCTAACTTTTTTCCAATCATCCCCAATACTAATCAGCTTAGTGCGTCGTGGTAATCGGTGTTCAGGCATGCGTAACACGTGGCTCAACCATCTCAGTTGACGAAGATTCATGACCTCATCAACTGATTTACCAGCATCATTGCCTAATATCTTGTGTCTAACCTCACTGTTATTTACCCGATGATCCCAGCAGATGCGAGCAATATTTCTAGGACATTGGTGGTCAAATACTAGTAACTTACGTGTATCTTCTACTCTTAATGGCCAAGTTTCGCAGCCGTAAAGTAGAACAGAGTGAACTGCTACGCAGTATACTCGTCCCTTAATTGATAGACGGATATTTCGTCTTCGCCATAGGTGACGTAAGTTGGCAAAAGCCAAACGAGCTTTTTGAATTCATGCTGAGATTTCGTCAGACACCAACCCATTTAAGGAAAGCAGCTGTATATCGCACAAGCAGTTGAAAAAATAGTCAAAGTTGGTTACATTAGACTTAACAGAAAGTTTTTGTCTTCAAATTTCAGGAACATATCATTTCATTAGAAATATTCAACAAACTGTCTACTGACAACTGTCCTTCAATTCGATTATATTGATGTATTTCATTAATAGTATCAGGTTCTATATTACATTGAACTGATTGATTCGATTTATGAATATAAGTTTCGGAACATTATTAAGAAACTATATTTAATAACAAGCATGGTAAGCAGAGATGGATAGTGGCTAGCAGTGGAATCCAGTTTGGCGAGCGTTTCGTCCTATTTGGGGCTCGTCAGCTGGATTTACCTGCATCTCAAATTTGATATTCACTCTGGGACTCGAACCCAGTACCCTTGCAATACGCACATATGCCAATTAGAGACTAACCAGTTGCAGTCCTAACACATCGATGGGAAGATTCAATCAAACAATACTAAATGAATTTATATTTAATAACATTGCAACAGGTAAGTCCGAAATGTGTGTGTGTGTGTGTTTAAGTCCAAGATATATGTCTGGAAGAAGTAAAGAAGATAAGCGAAAAAAATATTTTTTTCTATGCTTATAAATTATTGATAGGGACTGCCAAAATAAACAAACAGTAATTACAAAATTTATGTTCTATTGAGCCTTTCATTGTCAAAATATTAACTGGAAGCATAAGAATGGGTGAAGAACATTTCAAGTCCTGTTATTTAATTGTTGATTGGGATTTTTGAATTCATAGTACAATATCACAAATCGATATTAGTTAGACAACTATTGGAAACTAAGAAGTAATGAACATCCGTATCATCATAGTAATGGATTTATTAACATTACTCATCCACAACATCACTAGGAATCGAATCATGGATATTCAAGGCTTCTGGAGAAGGTCGAACATTCAGAACATCGAATTTGAATTGTTGAATCAAGGTAATCGATTCATACAAACAAATGTTAATATAAATTCCTAGTCTAAATCTTGAGTTCCCGCGTGAGATCGGAGGTCCTGGGTTCGAATCCCGCATGCATTATCATGGATGCGCACTGCTGAAGATTCTCATACTACAACGGGACGGCCGTCCAGTACTTCCAAGTTTTCGATGGCGGTCTAACTTAAATCAACTCATGGGTTTTGTAGAGATTGTAGTAACTTAATAGTTGAGTTCATGAGTCAATTAAAGCTAGACCACCATATATATATATATATATATATATATATATATATATATATATATATATATATATATGCTGGAATATGTACTCGCTTCGGTGGTACATATACTAAAATTCGCAATCTCATTGGTGTCATTTTTTGATATAATACATTTTCTTACACAATATAATACGTATTTCTAAATGGTTAAGATGTATATATTTCAATGTTATTGGCGGCCTGCTTGAATATCTTGACTACCTGTTCCTGCCATCTATATATTTCAACAAGTTATCTGTGTTCCTTGTTTGTTTTAACATATCATTATGTAAATTAATTGCATAACCTATTCAGATGCATTTGTGGAACGTTTACGATATCCCGCTGTACAACTTACGAAAGAGCCCAATCAGAGACATAGGAGGGGGGGGGCTGGCAATATGCATTGAAAAGAATAAGCATTATTCAGCTGTTGATTCTTAAAATGACTGCATGTAACTGGCAATCACTCCATATTCACCATCAGGATAAACCAAGAAATAAGAAAAGTAAGCTTGTTGAAATACTTTGTTCTGAGAACTCTATATTGTAGCAAAAAATTCAATATCGAATAAAGACAATAATAATTGGCAAAATGCTACTGTAATGTTGACAAATATTACACTCAAAGATTTAGACAAGAATCATAGTCGTATATCCAGAGATGTTATCTCTAATAAATGGATGATTGAAGTTCATTTTAAGTTAAGTATAACAATCAATTAATAAGTCAAACAATAGTTAATTCATTGTTTGATTGTTATATACCAACACATATCGATCAGAAGGGGTTTTGTGGATATTATAGTAATTTTAATAGTTGAAATCATGAATTAATTGAAGCTAAAACACCATGGAAAACCACGAGGCACTGCACGGCCGTTTTGATCTATTGTAGGACTCCTCAGCAGTGTGCATCCACAATCTCGCCTCGCAAGATTCGAGCCCAGGACCTATCAGTCTCGCTCCAGAGCACTTAACCTCTAGACCACTGAGCTGACCGGTATCCTACGGTGTTAATGTCTAACTTCAACCGATCCACGAAATTGATTGACACATCCACTAATGTCTTTGGTGAGTTACAATCTCACAACAGACATGGTTGAACTCCACTGGTTACGCCATCTCACTAGAACACTTGTTGAAAATTTACTGGATACTTAAGAAATATATCTGAATAATTCAGTTCTTTTCTTCGATTCTCAATAATTTCAGTTGAAATTCGATTCACTTATCAATGCCACTTCAAGTTGTTTAAACTATCTCTACCTTTTCATATGACTTGGTGTTCATTGCATATAACTATTTGGAATCTAATCAACTAATTTGGTTCAAAATATAAATTTTGGGAAATTTTAAAGAATGAATGGTTATCAAAGATCAATAAAGCTATTCTGCAAGATAAAAGCTTTATACTTGAATTCATGAGTCAATTGAAGCTAGACCTGGTTGAACTCCACTGGTTACTGCCTCTTACTAGAACTCCTGGAAATACCTCTTGAAGCCGGTCACTAGTGAGCATATATTGATTAATATCAGAAGGGGTTTTGTGGATATTTTAGTAATTTTAATAGTTGAGATCATGAATCAATTGAAGCTAGACCACCATGGAAAACCTGGAAGCACTGGACGTGTTCGGATCTCGCGAGGAGGAATCGTGTATGCGCACTGTTGAGGAGTCCAACAATAGGACGAAACGGCCGTCCAGGTTTTCCATGGTGGTCTAGCTTCAATTGATTCATGATCCAAACTATGAAAATTACATATCTATCAATCAAGGAATAAAACAATCAATTAACTTAAAGATGTGAGGATAGGATGCCCTAACAACAATTTGTGATACTTAAAATATACATAACAATATAAATAGCATTTTAATGTAATTTAAATTATTTTATTATTTACTGATAAAATTGGCTTCCCCCTCTTTGTTTACAATACATAGAAGATATATAATAGTATTATTCTATGAGTAACCAGTACAATTATTATCATCACTTATAATAATAATAATAACATGTAAGTCAACATCAATGGGAAAAGGTGAACTAAACGAAACAAGAACGAATGATAACTTTGCACAGAAGAAGCAAACAAACAGTAACAACTCATGATTCAATTGGAAAGATGAATAAAACAAGGGAGAATGTATTGTGATGTTTCTTCTTGTAGATTGTGAGAGAGGGAGATAGATGAGATGAGGAGAGGATAGAAAAAATGAAATACCGAAATCAAACGAAAAAAAAGTCAACAAGAACAAGAACTATGGTAGTAAACAAGAGAAAAAAAAATTTATTACACAGAAACTTGGGACACAATATATAGTAGTAGTAGTGGTAATAGTGAAATAATTGTGGTAGTAAAGTTTTGTATTGAAAGACTTATTGTCATAGAGAGCACAAAGACGGAGACAGAGAGAGAGAGAGACTGAGTATGAAATCATAATAACAATCAAATAAATGAATTAACTCTAAAAATCATTTAGAAACAAACTATCCGATGAAAATAAAGTTCGTAACAAGTTTAGTGGACTAACTGCCAGCCAGTCGATTCAGATCAAACGTTAGTCATCTATGTATAGCTGACAGAATAAATAATAAAGCAGAAAGAAAAAAAGAAAGACCTACATTAGAACAAGAAATGCATGCACTCATGCACTACATAGATTGGAGTAAGCGAGCAAAAACAGAGTAAGCTTATAAAAGAAAGAGACAAACAAGTTAACATGTATCTTTTATGCATCTTTAAAGGTAAATTAAATAGAGTAGAATACAAGACATAAATAAGAAATACTATTCTGGTCTAATTGTATAAATATACTTGTTATTAAGATTACAAGTTAATGTGTATAGGAACTTGACAAAGCGAGAGAGATGAAAAAGTGATATAGAAAATTAAGGAAGAGAGGAGGGATGAAACATTGTATGCTACTATTATTACCAATGATAGTATATAATGAAAATAGTGAGATAGTGATATCAACACAATTCACTATTCGTTACATAAATGATAATCGAAAAAAGAGGTAGTAAGTAGTGTATATTTTATTGGAAGAAGTAGAAGAAGAAGAAAAAGCAAAACATGGATAAGAGGGGTAATGAGGGGTGGAGGGCATTATTCCCTTTTCTTTTTTTTTTTTCTATGGTAATGAGATCAATATAGTTTGATTAAATTGTAGATACTGTTTAGATAGATGATAATGAACTATACATACAAAGACAAAGAAGAAATACATTAATAATGAAAGATATATACAAAAAACATGTATACACGTGAACTTGTTAGATAACACTGTAATATACTTGTGTGTGTGTGAGTGTATGTGCATTTTGATCTGATAGTGGGGAATGTTTATATGAGTTGTGAACCAAAAGAAGAAAGATCAACAAACAAGATCGTTGAAATGAAATGCAACAATAATACAAGACATATAATAGTAGTAATAATAATGTTAATACTAATAATAATACTACTGATAATTACATTTTGTATACAATATATATTATGTATTTAAAGTGGATTGATCTGGTGAAAATTTCTCTGGATTAGAATATAATACAAAACTATTTAATTCTGATGTTAAATAACCAAGTGTTTCAACCATTTTTGAAGTAAGTTGAGTTAAATAAGTTAATTGTGATTCTAAATTATGTAATTCTGAATTAGATGTAGATGATTGTTGATGAATTCCAGCACGACGTATAGTTGGACCAGTTTGTAAATCAATTAATGCTAATCGATGATATAGATGTATTGTTGATAGGAATAAAAAACCTAAACTAGAAAAAGAAAATTGAAAGAATAAATGGAAGAATTAATAAGTGATAATGATGATACTTAAACATTTGGCTATGAGAAACTTCAATAATTAAATTAATTGTAACTAAGAGGAGATTGATTATGAATACAGTGATCTTGAGTGTTGTTAGACATATGAGGGGAGTTATCACTTCCCGGTTGCCCACACCGTGGAAGGGTTCTTCTAGAGGTACCTGAAAAAGAAATTGGGTTACAAGTGGCCTTAATGACCTGAGAGCGTGACCGCAGTGCCCAAGGGACAACTGCTTGACGTAGGTCACACGACCTTTTTGTGTTGGCTCCGTACTTGTTGGGACCTTACCACCGCAGACGGATATCCGTGGGATAAGGCGAGGTGTGCATTTTAAGGGTCGACCTTTTCTAACCTCACCCCTCCTTGTGGGAAGGCAGCATCGCTGTTATGCTATTTGTCTGAAAAAAACATCTTACTGCCGTCACACCTCTGTACAGTTATCAGTACGACTTCGCCTTCGGACCTAGGGATTGATGCTTTTAGTCTTACCGCTCTTCAACCGACCTGCCTGGCATGGTAGAACCTTGAGGAACGATTGTTCCAGCCAGTATAGCTCGATTGGTTCATCACGATAGACAAGCCCGACCACCACGTCAACGTAGAAGCAACGGACGGGGTAACTAACATACATGTACAAGTAGTTGTTTTGTGAGTTAATGACAATCAAATTTTAAATTCCTTCATTGGCTACGAACTCATTGATAAATAACATTTAATAGAGTCAGTCATGATCAATGTAGGGTCAGGTATAAATGCCCGTTAACCAAAGCTGTCATAAAATATTAGGACGAGAAGATGAATAGTAAATGAATGGAAATTATGTAATAGTGATGATAATCGGAAAGGTTAATCATTGAGGATATGATTCTAAAAGAGGGTAAGAAAATATATGCATGATGTGATATTAGAGATCAGAATTTAAAGGAAGATAAAGAGTGAATGAACTTGTCTGATTGTACATGATTCTGACATATCACATCCAATGTTTCCAACTACTGACTGCCATTACTATGTAGACCCTAACCAGAGAGTTGTCCAGGTTCAGGCAAACGGTCAATGACATGTCGTTGTTTGACTACTTCTACCCTTCTCGCAACCTAGTTTTATATCAATCATCGAAGTAGATGGTGGTTAGGCATTGTCAGCTCAGTCGATGAGGATTTACAGTTTAGTCAACCAATTTGTCGTACTTATTTCCTCAATTGTTTTACGATACAGAAGCACATATAATTCAAAACCTGCAGCCTACGTATGTCTTTTATTTTCATACACCATATTTGACAACTATAAGGCGAAACAGATCGAACTGTTGTGCAGTATATATATTCTTTCAACTTTTTACTACTGTTATATATTGATGATACCGGATACTATCAGCAACAGACTACTGTGGGAGAGAATAAACCAGCTTCAATTTGAAGAAGAAATTACGAAAAAATATTGGAACTGGATAGGACATATACTACGGAAACCATCAAACTGCATCATGAGGCAAGCCATAACTTAGAATCCTGAAAGGAAATGGAAAAGAGGAAGGTCGAAGAACACACTACGTCGAGAATAGGAAGTAGACATGAAAAGTATGAATAGCATGTGGGAATAAGTGGGAAGGATTGCCCATGACAGGGTCGAATGGAGAGTGATCGTGGGCAGCCTATGCTCCTCGACGAGGGGTTACAGACGTAAGTAATATTGATGATAAGACTACATCATAATCGATATATTGTGGTTAGTAGAACAAGTACGTTTCAATTTGTTAAGTATTGAGCAATAACCAATGTCATTTTTATCTAGTCTTTTAGTAGTAATGAAGTCCTAACAACCAAGTTGTGATGTGGCCATTAATCTGACTGATTCTATATCTCGGTCACTATTTGGTGATTATTCAATCACGAATATCAGTCCTACAAGAATTTAGTAGCTGCTTAAGTAGTTCCACGATGTTTCAGACTGTAAAGTTGAGTGACACGGATTCTAATCCCATAAGGAATATTATTTCCATGAAGATGATAGGTATGCGCCTTACTGACGAGTACTAACTAGTATGAAACGCAGGTCTATAGTTTCCTCCCGACTAACTACAATCATGTAGCATTTCATTAGTGCATTACAAAGAATAGGGTAATCTTGTCCGTTTTATCACTACTCTATCGATAATAACTTACATGTTTCCTACAAAACTTAAAAATGCTTTTCATCACAAATTGATATCAGGCTCAGTGACTTATTGAAAATCAGAAAGTTTCGAGGAGTTATCTCGTCTTGGTTTGGGAATTCCTTGGCAATAAGTACTAATGAATCCATACATAGGAATGAATTCATTAATTCACAGGTCTCTCCCGAAAAGTACAACATTTCTAAGCTAATGATTAGTATTCAATTGGTACTGTAGTGGACGAGAACACGACCGGGGACAATCGAATATATTCAAGCACAAATTACAGACTATTTCACTAAATTTTGATAACCATACAGTCAACAGTTAATTTGCAAAATAACAATCAATTATCTCAATCTTCACTGTTCCTTCTGTAAATATCAATCCATCTTCTCTAATTTCATTATGCATACATTTTCCTACCAATTGAACTTCATTTCAGGTCTTTCCTTATCAGTCTTCTGCCAGAATACATTCTATGTCTGACTATCACCATATACTACTTATGAGGATATAAGTAAACTACACCACAGTATTTGTCTGTTTGATCTATAATAATTATATTGAGTATGTCTTGTTGATGGATGAGTTGTAAAGTAGATCGGAACAATGGTTCAATCCTTTTTTGATCAAATTTATAAAAAAACATGTTATGTAATAAATGTTATCAATAAAAATTACATAATACTTACATAGCATATGCAATCATCATGGTAAATCTTTGTGAAGGAGATGCATTAAACAGATAGGTAAGGACATTAAATGGCCACCAATTCCAATCCGTTGATATAGTAACATTTGGTCTATTAAAATTAAACTTATTATTATTACTACTATTAGTATTGACTGTTTCATTATTATAAGTTTTAGTATGTTGTTGATAAACTGTTGTATTATTCTGTTTTATAGGGTTATTTGAAAGAGATGGAGTGGAGCATAGATTATTTACAATTGGGTTAGTAACATTAGAATTATCATTATGTTGAATGACATCATTGGATCCAATATTGATATTTTGATTTGTTGTTTCTTTATTTAAATGATTCAATTCAATAAGAGATGGTTTACGAACACCCAGATTGAATTTACGAATTGAAGATTCTGAATTGTTAATAAGAAAAATACAAACAGTTCATTAATATAAAACTTATACTGATTTAATGTGCTTCATAGAATAAATATAGATCAACTGAGAAAACGTTTAGGTGGACCTAATTCACTGAAAAAAATATCGAGTTCTATGTAGCAACATTATTATTTATTTATTTATTTGATACTACCCAGGTGACCAGACCGAAACAGGTGGTTTTCTTAAGGGACCACACTCGGAGCCGTTGACCTAAAGATCCGATTCACAAGTCAGTGAAGCAACATCGAGAGATGCAGTCCCATGGTAGGCAGTGACCAACGATTGTTTCATACGCCATTTGTTCCTTCAGGATATTGGAGCCAGCCCATGTGAACCATTGGTTTGGAATCAGGGTTTACCAACTCCCCTAGGTGGACTTTCCGTGTCCACCAACCTGGTTAAAGCACCGGACATCCGCTTTTCGTCCTCTCAATTTCGTAGACAACATCCGTGATGCGAAAAGGCAGTGAGTAGGACTTCCCTGACAGAGGCTATATATGCGTGGCCGTGTGAGAGCATTTGGAGCGGGAGAGCGGGCTCTCCCCACTCTCGGCCGTACCAGGACATTTGGGGGCCCAACAACATTATAATACTCTATGACTAAGAACCTGAGTTATATTTTTGGTATAGAGGTTGATAATACGAACTGGATACTTGTCTACAATTGTAATATACAAAGCAGGGTAACGAATTTACGACTGAATACTTTATAGTCGAGAGATTTAGCAAATACGTCGTAAGCTTCGAAATTACAGCGTAAAAATAGTTTTAAAAATGAGAAATTTGATAAAACCAACTAAGGAAGATATTTTGTATGCTCAACTAGATAATTATGAATTTAAATTATTTTAATGAAAAGAATATCAAGTTTATTGAAATCATGAACCGATCAATGTTAGACTACAATTGAAAGCCTAGAAGCATTGAACGGTTGTTTCTTCCTAGTATGAGACTCCTCAGCAGTGTACATCGACGACCCTGAACGTGGAACTTTAGTTCTTCCAAGCTTTCAATGGCAGTCTAACATCGATCGACCAATTATTTCATTCAAACTTAACAGACTCCATAATCCTATACTTATAACATAAAGAGGATAAAGCTTTTACATACCAAAGTCATCAGATATTAAATTTTACATACGAAATTTATGATGCATACATATCCCATGTTCTACGTTACATTTGGATGACTAACCAACTGGGTACAACGTTAAATAGGCTGCAGCTAATCTGAAGCGATGGAGAGCAAAAAGATTTGATAGATTGAATACTTACTGCTAAGCTATTCAACCATATTTAGAGACAAGAATCTGAATTTTAGTTCAAGTGAATTGGAATTTTTATAGGATGAGTGGATTGTAGTTATTAGTGAAATCCGAAATGAGCGTTTCGTCCACTTGGGGACTCATCTTTTGTGCAAAAAGCTTGTCTCATTCCAGTGTTAGTGCCCAAACGAAGGCTCGACCCCAGTACTCTAAACTTCAAACACCCAGCGCATTATCCATTGAGATACTGAATTCAGATAGCTACTAGTTTAGTTAAACGGATATGAATTCGATTTGATATAAGAGCTTGAATTATTACGTCGGTGATATTCTTGACTGAATTTGATCCGTCTTAATTGGTATACATGCTCTCTAGGTAGACTGCTTCGAAATAGCCATCTTATCACACACTTTATATAGAACAGATGGATTGTGGCTGGTAGTAAAATTTACAACCAATACAAATCAGACTGAATCATGACTGTTTTCTAATGATTAGGTAACGTATGTGGAATATCTAAACATCTAAATAACAAACATAATTTTACATAGCGTCAGGATAAAAATGGAACATTAGGTGACGATATTAATATCAATAAAACACCAATTTATGTGTCTGTGATGTCTACTAACCCTTTCAAACTTATGTAAATAAAACCAGTCGTTGAATGTCTGCCACTAATTACTAGGTTATAAACGAAGCGCCCTCAAATGCCCTGGTGGAGAGGGCCCGCCCTCTCCCTCTCGAAATGCTCTCACACGGCCACGCGTATACAGCCTCTGTCAGGGAAGTCCTACTCACTGTCTTCTCACACCACGGGTGTTGTTTACGAAATTGAGAGGACGAAAAGCGAATGTCCGGCGCTTTAACCGGGTTGGTGGACATGGAGAGTCCATCCAGGGGAGTTGGAAAACACTGATTACAAACCAATGGTTCACATGGGCTGGCTCCAATATCCTGAAGGAACAAATGGCGTATGAAACAATCGTCAGTCATCGGCTACCATGGGACTGCATCTTCTTACGATGCTCCACTGCCTTGTGAATCAGACCTTTAGGTAGGAGGCTTCAGGTGTGGCCCCTTAAGAAAACCACCTGTTTCGGTCTGGGCACCCGGGCAGTATCATAGCCCTCACACAATTAAATGAAATGACAATTTCTTTGTTACGCATATATATATATATATATATATATATATATATATATATATATATATATATATATATGGTGCCTCCTTGTACCAATATTTATATGTTCATATAAATAAATAAAAAAAATATAAATGAGGCATCATTATGGAAGGCTTTATAGATGACTCCACGATCCTCATATTAATTACATCGATATTAGCATTAGCAACAATGATGTATTATTTCATCAACTGTTATCACTAATATATCATTAGTACAGGGAAATGGATCCAGTCATTCATTAATTGAAAAGAAAACAATCGATACACCAAAGTACTATTCACAACACTGACAGCATAGAATTGAATTTGGACACTTATAAATAGTTTTTAATTCATAAACACCATATCCAATGAAGTCACATTAGAAAAAAGTACAAAATTTTATCAATATGGTAATGTGTCAGAAATCTATATACATAATAGTAAAGAATTTAATAATCTATATACTTTACTTGTTAACTAAACAAAAACGATTGGATAGTGAACATTCACTCTGTTTAACGATTCAGAAAAAAAAGCACAACACTGAAGGGATATACATTCGTATATATAATAAATTATTTTGTAAAAGTAACCAAAGCCCCCAAATGCCCTGGTACGGCCGAGAGTGGGAAGAGTCCTTTCCCCTTCTCGCCATGCTCTCACATGGCTACGCATATATAGCCTCTGTCAAAGAAGTCCTACTCACTTCCTTCTCTCAGTCTGGGTGTTGTTTACGAAATTGAGAGGACGAAAAGCGAATATCCGACGCTTTAACCAGGTTGGTGAGTACAGAGGGTCCACATAGGGGAGTCGCAAAACACTGATTACAAACCAATGGTACACATGGGCTCCAGTATCTTAAGGGAACAAATGGCGTACGAATCAATTGTTGGTCACCGGCTACCATGGGACTGCATCTCCTTACGATGCTCCACTGCCTTATGGATCAGACCTTTAGGTTGAAGGCTCGGGGTGTGACCCCTTAAAAAAACCACCTGCTTCAGTTTGGGCACCTGGGCAGTATCACAGCCTTCACACAAATCAAATGCGATTTATGTGGCGCATATATATCTGGTGCCCCTTTGTACCAATATTCATGTGTTTAAATAAAATAAAAAATAAAAGTAACCAAAACTAGTTAATTGATTGAAATAAGATCACAATTTGGTGTACATTTTTTAGAGAGTATCAACTCAAGTTCTAACAATCATAACTAACGGAGTTGAAAAGAAAAGGTTAATTATCAATCACTTGATCCAAGAATAAATGAAAATTGTAAGCATACAAATAAACATGAATAGAGTGACGCCAAAGTATACTATTGAACTAATCACGATAGAAAAATTGAGTACAAAGTCAGTGTGTATATATTAATGTAGGGGAACATTTACGAGAAATACATTGTAATTTCTTTGATTTTGTACCATAATTCATTTATTCATATTTGCTGCTTTCTGGTTCACTAGAACATGTTAAAATCTCAAGATCATCTGGAAGTATATCTCAATTTTGTGTCCCAACAAACCAAATTTAAATAAGCACAAAAAGAAAGAACTTCCGAATACATAGGTACGACCGAAGGTAAAAATAGCCCGCTTTCCCTACCAAAATGCTCTCATATGGCCACTAGTGTATATTCATTGCCAGGGAAGTTCTACACACTGACTTCTGCGTTTTTTTACGTTATTGAGGGACAGAGAGAGAATGGCTGTAGCGTAAACCGGGTTGGTGGGTACTGAGGACCCAGTTAGAAGAGTTGGTAAATTGTGAATTCAAACTAATGGCACACATGACCTCCAGGATCCTGAGCAAAAAATGGCGTATGAACCTATTTCTGGTTATCACATGCCTCGACGTAGCTCCATTGCCTTGTGGATTAGACACCTGAGTTAAAGGCCAGGGGTAATATCCCAATCTACACACAAATCCAATGATTTGTGTGGCACATATGTATTTCGGTGCCTCATTGTACCAATAGTTTGGGTTTAAATAAGTAAAACAGCCAGAAAGAGAGAGGGTAAGTATTAACAAGATGAGAAGCAAAGCAGATAAAGTATCATTTAATTAATAACTAACAGAGGAATCTGAATTATGTATTTCGTCTTATTTGAGACTTATAAGACACAGGATATAGCTGCACACGAAGATTGGTTGATCAACTTGGGTTCTCAATTGTAAAGAGGAAATACAAACTTTACCAATTAACAATGAACACAAACCAGTGTACACATATATTTATGTATGGAAATTACCCACCTTGTTTTTTTACACCGACGACACTCTCCGTTTCACTATTGCTAATACTTCCTGTGGCACCGCCACTGGTACTTGTTAAACTGACAGTGGTTGAGCCTTTTGAAATTAGTAAACGATTGTAGAGATCACTTATAATTGCATTTGGGTGAGTTAAAAGGTCATTAGTGTTGTTATTATTAGCAGTAGTATTATTGGTAACAAATAATCTGTTAGCTGGTGAGCTTCCATACGACGGAGAAAAACACTGGAAAGTAAACAGAGGAAGAATTAGAATATAAATGTTATGCACTATACATATGTACACGAACAACGGGTCAACTTGTTTCAGTATTATTATTTTTATTGATGAAAAGGGAGAATTAACATGTTTTCCTTTCTATATACATAGATGAGGTTGGGAAAGCTTGATGCCAATAGCTACGCTGAAGTGGGGTAAGTTCAGAGTTGTCAAAGGTGTACACTTTGTGCCTTTTATCCAGTAAGTGTCTGACGATAGCATTCATGAAGTATTGGCTTCCACTCACGCATAGGTTTTGAGAAATATACTCGGAAAAGTTTGTAAAATTCTTCCTATATATACTTGCTTTACCAGTGGAGCCAAATGTCAACACCGTTTGATGCCTGCTCAGTAGTCTAGGGGTTGAGCGTTCGCGCTCAAGACCGGTCCTAGGTCCGAATCCTGCGTGCGGGTTCGTGGATACGCACTGCTGGGGAGTCCAACATCAGAACGAAACGGCAGTAGCAAATTAACTAGTTGTACTCTAGGAAGATTCTTTACCCGTCGAAAAAAAACATTATTTGGTAACATTATTTCCGAAAATTATTACATGTTTCGGGTTGTATGTATATTTAAGTCAATGCCTTTAATTTTCACATTTCTGGAAAATTATTACTAATTTGATAATTGGAGACTTTTACAATGAAGACCCATGTTTACATAAGGTGAATAAATAGTACATATCAATTACGCTATAGATACCATTATTATTATCACTACCATATTTAGAATGATTGTTTTCTGAATTGAGCAGTATGAAAAAAGATAAGTTTACATTGTCGAAGTCCGTGAAAGCTGGTATGAATGAGAAATCTTAAGGTTTATACGACATATGTAATCCAGAAAAAATATCGATCCAAACACAAAAATAATACATTTATATGACCATGTTTAAATACGAAAAATTAAACTATTGACTATAAAATATGGTTGGAATGTAGATAGTTGGTGTGGAATCCAAACATGTGATCTTATTCGGCACCCAAAACGTATACTAACAAACATATTCCAGAACATTTTCTAAAATATACCATAGATTTGTTATCATTAACTAACGACAAACCTAATAGACATTTATATCTTGAAGTTGAGTGGGAAAAACGTGATAAGTGTGGATTAGCTTGTATATATATATATATATATATATATATATATATATATATCGAAGCAATTGCTTCTACCTAACATTTGACATCAAACACTTCTGTTGAACATAACTCTGATACTTTATTTCTTCATTAACAACTTGCAAGTTCACCTACGTCTGAAATTACCTTTTCAAACTCGTGATTTTAAGTCAAAGGCTAAATCACCATACTTAAACGTCAAGACGCTTTACATTTCGCAACTACAATTCAACCAGGAGTCAGTTTTTTGTTTACTTGAAATTTGTCTTAAAACTACTGAGGCTTTTTTGTCCTAAAACATTACAAGTATTGTGGTTTAGTTAAAAAAACAAATGGACCGAAACGGCCATCTTACAGAGAATTCTACAGCTCCAATATTTTAGGGTAACTGCTAGCGCTATTGTAGTGATAAAGATAACACGAAACACCACTAGAAAACTAAAGCGATTGGAAACAACGTAAATCCAGAACAATTTGGGCTCGTATAACATATCTAATGGATTTTGGTTGCATTGTAACTTGTTGTTGGTAAAAGTCTAAGGGGTTGATGAATGAATGGTTGATTACAGGCGTAGATAACTAAGGTCTTCTACCCTGAAGATTGAGCTGCCTAAGCCTTGAAGTTCAATTGTATAGATTTTTTCTGACTAGAAAATGAAGATGTGCTCTTGGGGAATAAAACTTCTGCCGTTTTAATAAGAAGTCGAACACGAGCATAATAATTAGATCACTGCCGTAGTTAATCTTGATTTTTCTTTAGCATGAAGATTAAACTGTCGGAAAACGGGATGAGATGTAGCCGAGGGTGTGGTTGAAACTCAGATTGGCAACTTTTCTGAGAAGTTACTACTTGAGTTTATCAGAATGCTTAAAAATGAAACACTACTACATAGTACTGGTTAGTCAAGCGTGCACTAAGTATGGAGAAGACATCAAATTTAAATCACAAAGGTACTAGAACTACTGAAGACAAAAGCGTCGTACTCTGTAAGTGATAAAATACATAAAAACTTACCTTTTCTTTTAAAATGACCTCCCAATAATTGCGTAGAAAAGCTATAGCTGAATCTGATCGTTCAAAGTTAGCCAAAGTGTATGTCTCCTGGAAAGTAGCAAATATAATTTGTGATGAAGACGATTAAAAGTGAATTCTAAGCTGTACAAAGTGTAACAAATACTGGCAAAAGATTGGCATACGAAACTTACGTTACTAGTGGTGTGTATATTTACAGAGTGTTCATTTTGGACCTTAAGTTCAACGATTTGACTGAAAAGAAGTGCTGTCTAAACAAAAACTATGATGGGTAAAATCACATACCAGTATTCTTCGCTTCGGACGATGGACAAGATTTAAGGCCGAATGACAAACGTACAGCTTAACAGGAGTATTTATATTCTGGCTCATTAAATCACACTTATAAGCTTCAAGGATAAAAGAGATTTTGACTGACAAACCTTTAATTACAGCATCATTTTTAAAATACTTTTGACGTATTTTCTTTTGCATTGCACTAGATTTTACAGGATCGACATTGCTGAAGAGCAACTTCTGAGGTTCGGAGTCCTGAATCATATTCTGTGTTTGATAGAATAAGTCACAATATAAATCCAGCGTATGATAAATGGATCGCTGACGAAACCACCAGAAGGCTCACAAGACCCTGCAGTAAATCATTATAAATGCGACCAGTCGCCCAATGTATCACCCGATCGACCTTTGACAACCTTGACAGATGAAGGACAGATTATAATTGATTATTACGAACAAAGAGTTCATGAAATATTTTTTCGTCATCGTGACTCAAATAAATTAGACATGGAACTGCTCTATGGCTAAAAACTTCATTTTGATTGCATCTTAAAGTTTATAGCATTGAAGATTGCAAGTACGTTGAAAAATAGTTATATGATCATGCTGGTGGTTCATCATTACTCCAATACTTCATTCTTCAGTGACTGCTACTCAGCATCGTGTAAAAAAAATGACTATTTTTAAAGTATCCTCCAACAGGAGATTGCATACGACTATGAGCTCACTAATAAAGGTTATTATTAACCGACCGCAATGATAAGTATTTCTATTCGGAGTTTTATACTGAGCAATCAGGATAGTAGTATCCCACTTGTTGTAAGCAGATTAAAATAAGATGCTGATATTTTTGTAGCCGTTGGATGATGTATTTTGAAGGCGGTGGAGTTCTTAACTATAAAAAGCATAAATGTATTTTCCAAACCAAGACAAAAAGCACATCACCACCTAATGTCCAGGTACACAAGAATTTTATTATTTAAAGGCTGAGTTAGCTATTAGTCTGTGTAAGTGTATATGTGCCTAGGGACATGTATAAAAGATGCTCTACTGAACATGAGAGTATTTGGCAGATCCGAACAAGCAATGACTAAGAAATAATCAACAATTCGAATATCAATCTTCTGTACAGAAACCAGGACATGTTCATGTGAATTTCCACAAAATGTTTCTGTTTTCTAGATATCTGAAAGCGTACTTCCAAATATTTCGTTCCGATCAGAATGAACTAACAGGCCATATTGATGAAAACCAGTTCTTTGATGCTTAGCGAATGGAAACAAGTAGTTATACTAAAAAACTTACGGCACAATAATAGATGGAGGTAATGTTCAAAGTTATACCAGGATATTGAACTGCTTCAGTGTGTCTGTACCATTGAAGAATAACATTTATGATCTTCCGAGTTCGATAGTTCAAAAGACCATAGCAGCTGATACCTTTCTCTCAATAACTTGGCAAACATTAAAAATGGTGCAGAAGACATATGAAAGAGGTTCCGAACGATACTTTTTTCAACAACGAGCAGACTTTTGATTTCATTTTATTATTACATGATGCTGGATCTTTGACTATAAGACCATGTTTCATCGGAAACAAAATTTTGTGATGAAGCAGTTGCTGGTTTTTCATTGTAGTGATGATGCAACGGATGTTCTAGTTTTACAACTAGCTATCAGTAGCACCTTCTATAGTTGATCGTTCCCAGTCAGATAGAAATCAGAAGTCAGACGAGAAGAGGCAGGAAAGATATATTTGATTCGTTACCAATATATCGAGGACCTTTTCTATGAGCTGGCTAATGAAACGTAGGAGCTATGTCCCACGCCGTGTTGAAACGTGATCTGGTGCGGATGCATGACCGAAAGCCTTCAGTTAAACAAGACCACTTAAACAACGTGGTCAGCATCCAATGTCGAACACTTAATGAGCTATTGATTTTGGGGAATTATTTACAGCTACAGATCACTCCCCCCCTAGTGAGGTAGTGATGCCCCTAAGACGTGACCAGCCAGAAGTTTAAACCCAACGAGTTTGTCGTTGGTAAACACTCTTCTGATAGCTTGCTTTGTTTAACAGCATCTGGTCGTCTTTCCTTAAACTATGGGACCAAAATGTACAACATAGCAATAAAGAAATATAGTACAATGAAAATTTCGTTTCCTTGCGAAACTTCGTCGTTCTTTTCCAGCCGTCCTGGAAAAGAGAGAAAATAAAACGTGTGAGTGCATGTCGGAAATACACTCGTACTTGCGTAGGGAGACAAGATGAGCGGGAAAAAAAATAAACTAATACACTTACCAACAGCGTAAAAGCGATCAGGAAAACCAGTGTTTTTTTGTTTTTTTATATATAAAAAATATATATACGTTCAAAAAAAATAAAAATGTTGTTTTTTTGTTTTTTTTTATATAAATAAAAAAATGAGCATATTAAAAAATTTTTATAATAAACTATGAAAAGGTAATTCAAGATAAAGCTTATGTCCTACGTGCAATATTCGTTAAGATGTTCTGGAAATCTTACTCGTCTTCCAGAATGCTTTGTTTTAGGTTTATTTATCGACGTTGACGAAGTATCAAGTTGTGTGTCGGTTGTCGTGTAGGGTACTACGAGTGTAGTATCTGTGTCGATTGCTTGTACCGAAGGAAAATCGACGTAGCTAGGGTTTCCTTCTAGGTACGCAGCTTTGAGTCTGTGGGGAGTAGTGTAACGTCGTGTACTATATTACACCTACATAGCTTATTCTAGTTTCTGGACAAGCCAGTTCACCTATAACGTTATGAGTCATATTTTGATCTTGTTAATTATTCGCTTATTGACCTTGACTATTTTTTTATATGAGCGCATGTGTATGCACCCTTCTTATCCTACCTATCACATGTCTGTCATTCATTTTAGCCTGACTATAAATGTTGATTAATGCTTGCTTATAACGAGTTGGCTTCCCAGCTATCTCCACTCTGCGTCATCTTTCCTTCGCTTGCTTACATTTGCTAATGTGCTCACTGCCTTCTAGCCCATGTTATTTATCAATAAAAATGTAGTTGCTGCTTCCCTTTGTCTTCTGATATTATACACCGTTCAGATTGTTATAATAACGGTTATCAAGACGATCGATTAACGAAGCACTACACTACAAGTCGATCGATACTGATGCTATCTTTCGTACCGTTCTTATCGACTACATAGTACTTAGGTTCGCGTTGAAGAACTTTGAAGGGTCCTTCGTATGCTGATTCGAGGGGTCGTCGATGTGAGTCTCGACAAACGAAGACGTGTGTACTATGTCGTAATTCGGGTTGAACGAAAACATCAGTTGATTGAGATCGAGTGTGAGCAGGTTTAACTGAACGCATAGCGTTTGTAAGCCTACTCGTGTAAGAGTTTAGATCCATGTTCAATGAAGAAGCTGAAGGATCCACGAATTCTCCTGGGAGTCGGAGTGTCGTTCTGTAAACGAGTTGAGATGCCGTGTATCCAATGTCAGCTTTCACTGCATTGCGGATACCTAGCAAGACGAGTGGAAGAGCGTCTGTCCACTGTGAAACGTTTGAAGCTGATAATGAAGCTTTTAGTTGTCGATGAAAACGTTCTACCAACCCGTTTGCTTGTGGGTGGTAGGCGGTCGTTCGGAAGCGCGTGATTCCTAATAGTGAGGTCAGACAACGGAAAAGTCCAGATTCGAACTGGCGTCCGCGGTCTGTAGTGATGGTTGAAGGGCAGCCAAAATTTGCTACCCATCGTTCGACGAAAGCGCGGGCCACTGTTTCAGCAGTAATGTCCTTAATCAGTACTGCTTCTGGCCATCGAGTGAAACGGTCTACGCATGTTAGGAGATATGAGTATCCGTCCGAGTCGGGTAAGGGTCCTACCAAATCTAAATGGACGTGGTCAAAACGCGCGTCAGGGGTTTTGAAAAAGCCTAAGGGACATTTGTTGTGTCTTACGACCTTAGATTTCTGACAGCTTACACAGGAGCGTGCCCACTCCCTCACGTCTTTATTCATGCCAGGCCAACAAAAGCGTTCGGCTATAAGTTCGATTGTTGCACGAGCACCTGGATGAGAAAGATTGTGCAACGTATTGAAGACGTTGCGGCGATAATGTTTTGGTACAATTGGACGATCCCTACCTGTAGATTTGTCACAGAGTAAGGTTTCCTTACCTGTTCCCATCTGCTTAATACTTAATTTTAGAGTTGTCGAGGATAACTCATGCTGAAGATCAATGTCTTCTTTTTGAAGCTCAGCGAGTTTAAGAAGGTCGATTCCTTGGAAGCTGTTCAAGGAATTTACTCGAGACATAGCGTCTGCGACTACATTGTTTGCTCCAGAAATATGTTGTATGTCTGAAGTAAACTGCGAAATGTAGTCGAGTTGTCGAGACTCTCTAAGAGAGTACTTGTCTGAAGATGAATTTGAAGATAAGGTAAGAGGTTTGTGATCGGTAAAAAGCGTGAATTCTCTTCCTTCGATGGAATGTTGGAAATGCCGTACAGCACAATACATAGCTAGGAGTTCCCTACCGAACGTGCTGTACCTAGATTCCGCGTCTAGCAACCGTCTCGAGAAAAATCCTAAAGGTTGCCACGAGTTGTTAACCCATTGTTGTAAGACTGCTCCGATTGCTGAGTCGGATGCGTCTACGGCGATACTAATGGGCGCTTGAGTATCCTGATGAGCAAGCAAGGTTGCTTTAGCGATGTGTTCCTTAACTGTGGAAAATGCTTTACGGGCTATGTCGTCTAAACTAATTGATTTCGCATTTCCACGAAGCTGATCGGTTAACGGTTTCATTAGGGATGCGCATTTAGGTATGAACCGTCTATAGAAACTTACGAGTCCGTTAAAAGTTCGTAAGTGCTTGATCGTGGTCGTTTCTGGGTAATCCAGAATGGCCGCCACTTTGCTCCTAAGGGGTCGGATGCCTTGGGCATCAATAGTGTGTCCTAAGAAGTCTAAGTAGTTAGTTCCGATTTGGCATTTCTGTATGTTGACAGTAGTGTCATGCCGTTGGAGTCGATCGAAAACAATGTCCAGATGCTTGAGATGTGATTCTCTGTCCGGACTTGCTATTAGACAGTCATCAACATACGCATGCACGTAGTTGAGACCTCGGAAGACGTCGTCTATAAACCTTTGGAAGGTTTGAGCCGCGTTTCTTAAACCAAAAGGCATTCGTAGAAATTCGTAAAGACCGAAGGGAGTGATGATGGCGGTTTTAGGAATGTCGTCAGTTGCCATCGGGATTTGGTTATAAGC